AACGGAACATAAGTAAATGAACTCGGATATGAACAGAGTACAAGGATCAATAAGCAAGATGGAAACAGAGATAACCAAAGTCTGGAGTCAAGGGGATTACCATAAGGAGATAGACACTGATTTAAGGTTTGAGCTTCGGATATGAGTATAGGTCAGATCCGGAGGTCTAGAGATATCGGATGAGGTGTCTGGATATCGGATGAGCGGATCCGGAGATCTAGGTGAAGACGAGACTAGGATATGGATCATTGATATAGACCGATAGTCTAGGGAAGGTAGAGTCCTGAGATGGAATGAGCTCGGATCCGATAGGACCAAGGGTGGATGAAGCAGGCTTAGCTGCGGAGGTCCGAAGGTATGGATATATGGATGTACGAAGGTGTACGGATCCAAACTGATAGTGGACTGCAGGACTAAAGGCATGGATGAGGGTATGGAGTGATGGATAAGGGTATGGAGGTCCGGATGTGCATCCGGAAGGTGTCCGGAAGGCGTGGGAACATCATCGGACGAAGGTCCAGAGTACGGGATATGACAGTCCTCCACTTCACATCCGGATATCATCCGGAAGGGGACGGACAAACTGAGTGTGCCAATCAAACCCTGGAACAATACCTTTGGATATATTGCAATTATCAGCAGGACAACTGGTCGGAACTACTTCCCTTAGCAGAGTTTGCCTACAATAACGCTCCTAGTGCTACTACCGGAGTATCGCCTTTCTTTGCTAATAAGGGTTATCATCCGAACATATCCGTCCATCCGGAACGCGATCTATCCTCCATCCGTGCTCGCGACTATGCTATAGACCTCAATGACCTTCGTCAATTCCTCCAAGAAGAAATGGCTCACGCCCAAGAAAGATATCAAGGACCTGCGGATGCTAGACGGAAACCCGCTCCGGATATCAATATCAGAGATCAAGTCTTTGTGAAGGCTAAGTGCTTCCGGTCCACTTGCCCATCTAAGAAACTCTCGGAAAAGAACCTAGGTCCGTTTGAAGTCATATCTCGTCCGGGTACACATTCCTTCACCATCCGACTTCCTGAATCCATGAAATCTGTCCATCCCGTTTTCCACGTCTCGCAGTTAGAACCATCTGTCCTGAACACAATTCCTAATCGTATCCAGCCTCCTCCACCTCCAGTTGAAGTCAATGGAGAGCCAGAATATGAGATATCCGAAATCCTAGACTCTAAGCTAGACCGTCGTAGGCATCAATGCCAACTCTTATGCCTCGTCTGATGGTACAGATACGAAGGAATGGACGCAGAGACTTCATGGTTACTAGCCATGGAACTCGGAAATGCGTCTGATCTAGTCTCGGATTTCCACACCGCATATCCAGACAAACCTGGTCCTATTGCTATACAATGAATATACAAAATGGATATACAAGTACATTAGTAGCAGAGAAAGCGGATCCGAAAATCCTTAGCCATCCATCTCCATGTCCCCACCAGATCCGGATTCACCAGCGTCCTTGTCAGAGGCCTCAGAATGGGCTGCCTCTGTGATCCAAATTCCATTCCGGATCCCCTCAAGAAGGATGTTCTGGAACTCCCTCTGCTGCTCCAAAAAACACCTCCAAGTTAGTATTCATCCGTTCCATAGCAACCCTACTCCCTTCCGCCGCTCTGATGCTCAGCTGGAGTAATCTGTTGGTCTGGACCAGTTCTGCTACAATGCTGTTAGCAGCAGCAACCCAGACCTGATCATCATACTCCACTTCCACCTCATCCGCTACTGCCATCTTCATATCCGGATCCAGAGTCAGACTCTGCTGGCGCTTCTTACCCTTGCCTCTCGGAGATGGGTTCTCAGCAGCGCGCTGCCTCTTCTTTGACTTGGAATCCTTGACAAGTCCAGGTCTTCCGGGGCAAGTAACCTTATCCTTCCAGCATGCGTTGCAAGCCTTGATCTATCCGAATGTTAAGAGTCACGGATCCAAAAAGTCAAGGATGACTCACCAAGGAATTGCTATCAGCATCAAACCACAGACAGGCCTGACCCTTTTTAGCGCAACATGTACAAGGCCCATCCTTATCCGCTGAGATAGCGCGAGTCTACAAATCCGATAAGGGACGGATCCGATAGTACAATCATAACTCACCATTTCTGCTAAAATCACCCTGCGCCTAGTCTCCTCCGCTTCCCTTCGAATCTCAGCCAGTTCAATCTTCCTAATCCCATCCAAGCATTTCCGTACTGCCTCCTCCTCTTGTTGCTTCCACTTTTCAGCCTCTTCCTCCTTCCGAACCTCGGCCTCAGAAGCAGCCAGCACGGCCTGTACATCCGCCAGAGTCTGCTTAGTGGTCTTCTTAGAGCCGGATCCGTTATCAGCCATGGTTGAGTTAAGCTAGTGGTAGTGAAAAAGTGGGGAAAGGAAGGAACACCCGGCGACACTTTGGCATCTGTATATCTGGTGAAATACGAACTCAGCAACTTCTCCCATCAACTTCTCCATTGTCTCGCACTCATACCATCCATTCCGGATCACTGATTCTTGTGCCTCTAGGGATCGGCCCTAAGGGGGGGATACTGTCATATACCATATACCTGGGTACAGATCCAAAGATCCGATGGACATATCCATCATCTGGTCCACAGATCTGATCTGATTCTTATTTCATGTTCTGTTCATATAACTCTAACTATCGTTCATCTCCTTTAGGCATTCCTGTACACTGGTATACCGGTTATCCTTTACTTCCGCTATGCTTACTGATCTGCTACACTTACTGATCCGCTTTAACTTATACTTCATTCCCGGTTCATGATTCATGATCCATCCGACTTACCAATACGCTGTGCACATACTTTGCTTATACTTTGTACATAGCCTCGCGCCTTTGCTTATTGATCATTCCGTTAGTTATCCGTAGTATATAATCCCTTGTACATGTGCTGTAGTAGATCAGTTCGAATGTCATCTTAGATTGCATTCATTCCGTCTGGACTCTAAGTCCTTCCATTATCCGTCCAGACTTGAGTACGATACTGTTAAGACCGTAGCTCAAGGGTAGACGGATCCGAAGGGCTTGGCCTCAGCTCGTGCGCTGTGCCCCTTACCCGAGTATGTGCCCTTAATTTCAGAATGAAGTCCAGATGGAATCCAACGAAGTCCGAAGGACTTCCGGAGGCTGGCTACTCTAGTAGAGTGCTAGAGGACTTCCAGATGAGTGCAAGAAACTTCTGGAGGAGTATAGGAAACTCTGGAGGAGTTTCATCCACTGTATTAGATCCGAAGGTAAGACTTCCCAAGGTATGTTCCCTAGATAGAAACACATAGAGGATAGGCTGCAAGGGACAGAGTCCAAAGCAGGATAGGATAGGAGGAGTGATCCAAAGGACAGGACGTCCGGAGGTCCGAAGGTTAAGGCGTCCAAAGGTTATGCCGTCCAAAGGTCCAGAGGTTAGGAGGATCGGAGGAACGGAGGAGCAGACAGGATTAGGACACGAGGAGAAAGGCTACTACGGACAAGGTCCGGAGTAGAAACAAACAGAGGTAGACTACACTTAAGTAGAGATGGAGTTGACAGAGAGTAGACAGAAGTCTTGGAAAGACAGGAAGTGCCAGAAAGGCAAAACTTTGGTCTAAGGAATCAATCCCTAGACTTCAGAACAGAGACATAGGGGACAAATCTGAAGGTCCGGATTTCTGGCCTAGGGAATCCATCCCTAGGCCTTTGATGGAAAGGCAGAACTCAGATGGACCAAAGTCCGAGACAAGAATGAGTAAAGTCTAGTGTGATATTCGAACTAAGGAAACTTTACAGGAGTTGTACAGAGGTTTATATACTGGACGGAATCCGAGAGGATCAGTAAGCTGAACACAAATGCTATGTACAAGCATGTGGAAAGATATTGGTAAGTATGAACAGAACATAAGTAAATGAACTCGGAGATGAACAGAGTACAAGGATCAATAAGCAAGACAGAAACACAGATAACCAAAGTCCGGAGTCAAGGGGATTACCATAAGGAGATAGACACTGATTTAAGGTTTGGGCTTCGGATATGAGTATAGGTCGGATCTGGAGGTCTAGAGATATCGGATGAGGTGTCTGGATATCGGATGAGCGGATCCGGAGATCTAGGTGAAGACGAGACTAGGATATGGATCATTGATATAGACCGATAGTCTAGGGAAGGTAGAGTCTGAGATGGAATGAGCTCGGATCCAATAGGACCAAGGGTGGATGAAGCAGGCTTAGCTGCGGAGGTCCGAAGGTATGGATATATGGATGTACGAAGGTGTACAGATCCAAACCGATAGTGGACTGGAGGCATGGATAAGGGTATGGAGTCATGGATAAGGGTATGGAGGTCCGGATGTGCATCCGGAAGGTGTCTGGAAGGCGTGGGAACATCATCGGATGAAGGTCCGGAATACGAGATATGACAGATACTCTTGTCTACTCTGAGACTTAGGATTGATTCCCATAGTCTATACATCCGCCTCTGTCTTTGGACAGTCCTCACCCATTAGTTTCTAGTTCGGATCTGATCCAGATTAGCCGTTACTCTACAAGTCCGATATCCAGAAGCCTTAATGTATCCGTTACGATACTTATCCGTCTCAGTAGACGCGATACTTTAGCACTCTGAAATAAGGGGCAAGACTCGGGAAAGGGGCACAGCACATGAGCTGAGGCCAAAGCCCTTCAGATCCGATACCTCTTGAGTACGGTCTTAACACAGATGACGGACTCAGACCAAACACTATGGCAACACGAGATGGAATGGGTGCAGAACCTATGCGAAGGACAAACACTATATAGGGCTAGCTACGACCTCGAGGACTCCGTCGAGACCCCTGACACCCTGATCTTGGGCTAGACCAACCCCCACTGCTACAGCATGACGATGGATGCAATGAATCCTTGCACACTTCAGGCATATTGTTCTGGGAGGTGTTGCAGTACTAACCGAGCCTCCTTGTCAACCCTAGTAACCACAGCTGTCGAGCTTGCTGCAAATTCACAGGACACATTACTTCAAAAAGGCCTGAGCTCAAATATTGGGCATGTTGGGTCTTTCATGAACAGGACAGCAGCATCCTGTATAAGGACTTGATGGAGCCACACTGGGAGTCGCAGGAAGCCCTTCAAGGCAATGTCTTGTCCTGCACGCCTGAGCATTGCCTCCCACTGCTGCAGGTCAGCATTCTGCTGCTCAACCCATGGAAAAATGTGCGAGAAGAGCTCCGCTGGAGGCTCTGGTTTTGAATCACAGGTGAGGGCAAGCTGTCAGACAGCAGATACTGGCTTACCAAGATAGTCCTGAGCTAGGAAGTATTGCTCATGCTTCCTCGCATAGAACATGGCCGCACCATGTAGCCCTTCGAGTGGAAGGTCATGGTCATAGCAGTTGGCAAAGGCATCATTGACACTCCAGCAGCCAATGGCTTTCACATGGCTAGATGTCCAATGTGCTTGCACAGTCTTTGCCATGAGGTGTCAGGTGGCATGTGTGGCCTCTGTCAGGCTAATGTCGTTCTTGCTGTGTACAAACTTGATTTGGTCATAATAATCTGTGGGGAGGTTCAATGATCCAATTTTCATACCTAGAGCAGGCCAGCAAAAAAACACCCACTGTTATAAAACATTTGCCTGTCAGATCTCTTACCCCAGAAGACATACAGGTCATACCATGACCGGCAGCCAAATTCACCATATCCCGCCTTCAAGAGCTTGGGAGCAAATTCAGGGATAGGTTGTGAGACTATGTGAAAGCATGGCAAGGGCCCTGAAAAGGCAGAGCTCCATGTGAAAATGTCACAGCGTCCCATGCTCACCAGGATGGTGTGTCGGTGGGGATGTGCAGAGGCTAGGTTAGGGCTTAGGAGGCAGCAGGTGTCGCAGGTGTCAGAGGCATCAGGAATGCCAGAGGTCTTGTTAGGTCTTAGTAGCGCCCTGTCTGTGTTGTAGTACTCACTCCAACCACGTTGTGTGTTTCGTGCATTGCTTGTCAATGTTCGTTGGGCACTAACTCACCTGGTGACTAGAGTGAGCATGTCTTTTCTGCGCTTCACTGGCATCACATTCTCGGTTTTTTCTCTTTGTTCACTCAGCTTCTGGTTCTGTTTTTTTTTTTCCTTTTTTTGCACCCTTCAACTCATAGTTGTCATCACAGCTCTTACTATCGAAGACGTCACAAGGCTATGTAGTCTCTCGTCAGAGATACCCGAGGTCCTACTAA